AACTTGGATGCATTTTTAATATTGATTGCCTAGCATTTTGACAAAAATTTAGGTCATAATGCCAATATTGCAAGAGCAAAACCTATCCGACTAAGACTTTTGACTTAAAACTTGACTTCTTTGATCTTTGCACTAAAATAGATTATGGTTTCTCTTTTAAAATAAATGATGGTTTAGTTACATTGATAATATATTTATCAAACGGGTGATTTATTTGATAGTGTGACTTACAATTTACATTTCACATAATGTTGCATCAGAACATGTCTTAACATAATCATACAAAGCCCTTTGGGTTAAGAAATGTCACAACCGGATGTAACAGCAACAAACTACAACCAATCCTATCTTGTCTAGTGCGACTAGGAATATAGTTGAGAACAGTTTAAGGCATTTAACCCTTGGGGTGTAAACGAACTTAATCAATTTGAACACCCTAGTATTAAACCTTATTTGATTATTTTAATGAACTTGAAATTTTGTTCAATGTTGGCTTGTTTATATGCCGAATCGAATTTAAATGAGTTATTATCGAGTTCGACTATTATCAAACATAAAATATTGTTCAAATTTGTCTTGATTAGTTGGTGAATCAAGTTTGAACGAGCTCTTACCAATCCGAACTCGATTCGAATATCTAGTAGTTTGGTTTATTTTTCAACGCTATTTAACTTATTAGAAAAACATTGAAGCTTCAAATTTTGCTTTCATCTTTGAAATTGAAGCAAATAAATGTATGATAGGAAATGTGCACATCCTCACTCTCCATGAAAAATTAACTTCACTTCTTCTAAGGGAAAATAACCTTTAATCTAAGGGATAATTTCAGAAACCTCCCTTGAGGTTTCTGAAAATTTCACTTAGCTCCCCCCAATTTTAGAAATTTACTCTAACCTCTCTCGGTTCAATAAAATGACTACAATACCCTCTACTTAATAGATAATTTACCACATATGTGGGATACAAAAACCAAACCAAAAGTAAAAGAAAATATAAAAACCTGTAACAACTCGTCATCATCCCCAACCCTACTTTAGTTTCTCTGTTCCTAACGCCATTGGAGTATGGGTTGCTCTTGGCATAGACATCAATAGTGGTTGGCCAAGTCTTCTGTTCAAGGAAGGTGATATGCGATAGGTGTTGGATTCATAATTTGAGGTGTGAGATTAGCCAATAGACAAAATATAGTGTTAATTTGGGGTGGGAAGTTTTTGAGGGTATTTTAGTTGGTGGTGGTGGTTATGGTCTATTTGTAAAGTGATTCGAATAGAGTTTGGGATTTTGATGATGCCGAAATTGATAGAATTTGGGAATTAAGTTAGAGTGCGATTTTGGTAAAATTTGGGATTTTAGTGATACCAAAATTGATAGAATTTGGGAATTAAATTAGAGTTTGCTTGAACGGTTGATGAGGCTTTGGGTTTACAATTATCGTGGAAGCATAGCAAATTTGGATAAAAGTGTTTGTTACTTTTTTTTTTTGGTTAAATTGATCACTAAACCTTTTTTTTCGCTTTCTTTTGATGTTATGATATTGCATAAGGGTATTTTAGGATACTTAAGTATGATTCTAACCTAATGGGTCTATAATGTTACTTAAATAGTAAAAGCAAGGGAGGTCAGTGTAATTTTCTAAAATTGGGAGGAGCTGAGTAAAATTGTCAGAAACCTCAAGGGAAGTTTCTGAAATTATCGCTTAATCGAAAGATGTATCACCTCACACTAGACAAATTTATCTTCTTCTTTTTTCACAAATCTTGATTATTTAAGAGCATTAATTAAATCTTACTCATTTCAGTTTCTCAATAGATATATTCATATATGTTAAACAACACGTAATACAACTATACATGTATATCAAGAATCTGGCTGTCGCAACATTCATAGTCGCTAAATTCTGTGAAGATTAAAAAAAAAAATTGTCTTGATAACATCCATATCCACCTTTTTATGAAGGTGGCTGCAAAGATCCCAAGTGTTTGTGGCGCATGCAAGTTAAAATGTACCAGTAATATAAGCCCAATTATGCTAGTCTTTTTGTTCTAACTATTGTACACAGATCATTTCTTATGCAAATGGCACTTTATTTAAGGTATTGTATTCTTTCAATTTAATTTTAATTCATCTAGCTAATTTATATCACTAAAATTATCCTTCTCTCTGCTGTATTGGAATTCAAAACAAATATCTTAATGTATGTTATAAATAGGGTAAAAAATAAAAAAGCCCCCTTGGTAAATTTAATATACAGAAAAGCCCTCCGTAGTCTCAAAACGTACCACACGATACTGCATATTTTGAACTAAATTGTAAAAGTAACGGAATCCGTTAAACTTAACGGAAATGGACGAAATGACCAAAATGCTTTGATGTAATTAAGCAAAAGACAGGTCAAAAAAATCATTTGTTTTCTTCTCTAGATAAAGAGAATTGAGGGTTAAGGAGTAGAATAGGTATATTTAATAAAAATTAGGTATAAAATTTTTTTTTAGGTTCCAATAAGTCATTTCCGTTAAATTTAACGGATTCCGTTACCTTTATAATTTAGTTCAAAACATGAGGTGTCATGTTGTACGTTTTGAAACCACGGGAGGTTTTTCTGTGTATTAGATTTACCACAAGGGATTTTTTTATTTTTTACCCTTATAAATATGATCAGCTTGAGTCGGTTGGAGTAAAAGGAAGACAAGCCGAAGCAATTATCCAGAAAGAGAACCCTTTGATGACACTTGTGGTTTATCCAAATGGCTTTGAACTATTACCATTTGATGACTTTAGCTCCAAATGCATTCTCGTTATTCTTGACAATAACGACAAAGTAAGAAGAATTGTAAGAGTTGGACGAGAAATCAACCTTAATGATGAAGTCAAAACTTTTGCAATAGTTGGATATATGAAATCTAAAGATAATTGCAATACGGTTTGGCATTAAGAGGAGTTTCAGGTATTAACTTTTTAGAAAAATATAGTTAATTCGAAAAAATGTCACAATTCAGAGGTTGCAATAAATGTGAGTGTATGGTTTTCCATGATAATTTATTTAGATATAATTTAGTTGTTCTATTGGATACTCGTTACAAAATTAATAGTAATATGTAGTTTATGCAACTTGATTATCAACTAAAGCCTCAATTTTGATTTCTTGAATCTTTAAGTCTTCAATACCTCCTTTAGATTCTGAATTCCAAGTTGGTATGCATCATTTATGGGGATGAATTTGGGTTCACTATTATTTGGAAAGTCAATCGCACTAAATTTACTTCAAAACATATGTACAAGAGGTGAACTTAATCGGTTAAATTTGTTTGAACACCTAATTCAATTGATTGAAACTCAAATTAGGACATACATAAAAGTAACTTGCCTATATAAATTAGTTATTGAGAAAGACAAACAAGAAGGACGACAATTTGAAAGGCTAACTTGAATGGAAATTCATTTAACTAAAGCATGAAAGAACAAAGGAGGTTGTTGAATACTAGTGGATGAATATAGAAATACAACCAACGATCGGGACAACTTTTTAATTATTATTTTTTGGTTGACCGCTTAGCCAGTGCTCCCTGAAACTACTTAGTAAGTTATTGGGAAGTTATTGGTTTTAGGCACAGCCGCCTCGAAGATCATAAAAAAGTGTGAAAGTATCCCTTGCAAAAATTAAAATTTTCAATTAGATCCCTATGAAAGTAAAATGTTGTCCCATTAAATATTGATGGAAACTGGAAAGTAATAATTCCCACCCCTAAAATTAAGCTCATATAAAGGTCAACTCCCTTGTGAAGGATAAGAATCACCACCCAGACTTGCAAATTGGGAAAATTAAAAAGTCTTCCCAGAGTATACAAATAAAGGGTTCTTTTCTGTCATGGACATGAAGAATGTACTCTTTTTTTTTTTTTTTGAAGAACAGATGGAGAAAAATATGATTAGTATACAGAAAGTGGTTTACATCCTAATACACGAATTAATTACAAAAATAAGTCCTAATACATTCAGATTACATGCTTAGAATCAAGTACAGACAAAAGAAACTGAGGGGGGAATGAAGATAACATAGACATCCTTCATTGCCCCTCAGCGATGAAGCATGACGTGCCAAAAGTCTAGCTGCTTTATTAGAAGAACATAATTGTATTAGACTTTGGTGGACTAGCTTGATGAAGTTAAATGAATAATTTATTACTAATAAAAAATTAATAACAAAAATGGCACATAAAACAATGAGATGACTTGTTCTGAGCTAAATGTCAAAGGGCACCTATTCTTCATGGAGATGAAATTATAGTACTAGGCATGATGTACTAGTTCAAGGAACTTAGGTTAATAATTAAATATAAACCACACCTACAAAAATTAAGGCAAGTTGGTTGTAGTGTCATGGGAAGAGAATTAAATTATGGCCAATTGACCTAGCTTGAAATACAAAAAATGGCTAGAATTATTATATTTTGTTCAGTGGCAACAGCCAAATGAGGTTATCTACTCAGAAGCCAGATTCCTAGCATCAAGTATCATTGTAATTGTGGGACAGGGGCAGAACGATTGCAGCCGTTCCTGAAGGTTTTGTGCAAAACGCACAGCGTATAATTCTATATGCATACAGTGTAATTCACTCTCAATAACGTATAATTATAGAACAAATTTTTTGTGTACCCCACACATGCATGATATGAAAAACGACGTACAAGATACAATTTGGACCTTATATATATATATATATATTTGGTCAAATCTTGGCTATGAACGTTCTGGAACGGCTACCCCTCCTCCATAATTGTCAACCTGATCACTTATCTATTTGGCAAATGCCGGTTGTTTGCTCCATACTTTTTTTTATTAAAGGCAACTACGAATTTTGTCATTTATCAAATGATGACGTTGACCAAAATATAAGCTTCTTATCTCTTAAGGTTAATATCAAACGCAAAAATAAACCTAACGTTGAAGTTGAGAGATTGTACTGCATTGCAGACTAAAAAAAAATAGGTGAAGGTCATGAAAACCAAAATAGTAAAAATTGTATAATGCAGCAGTATAGAGGACTAAAAATTCACAACTGAACAAAGACCAAGTGTATGTAAGCATTTTTCCGACAATAATAGGCCATTTAAAATTGAAAACACTACCATAATACCCATACTAATTACTATTATTCATGTCCTAATTGATTTAACGAGAGCAGAAATATTCCAATCCGAGACAAATATAGTTCAGTTACCACCTATGCTGCTCAGTAGCAACCTAGCAAGAATATTACCCATGCCACCAGGCCACAGAAGTCTGCCCAAGTTGTTCAATTTAAATGGATACTGTCCCTTTCCACATTCAATTTTTGTATTCTATTTGTGAAAATAATCCCTATTTAATCAGCCCAGAAGAGCTCATTTCTCCATACACACAGAAGGGGCGCAATCCATGTTCATGGAGGCGAATACTACAGAAAATGCTGGCAATAATTCTGTAAGGGTTCTCATGTTACCAATGTTGGGGCATGGTCACATATCTCCATTCTTGCAGCTAGCTAAGAAACTCACTGAGAGAGGAATTCACATTTATCTTTGTTCTACACCTATCAATCTCAATTCCATCTCCAAGAAAATCACAGGCAAGTACTCTGAATCCATTCAGCTTGTGGAATTTCATCTTCAAGAATTGCCTGAACTTCCTTCCCGCTACCACACAACCGATGGCCTCCCGAGTCACCTCCTTCCCATCTTTTTCAACTCCCTGAAACTGTCCAATCCTGAAATACACAACATCATAGAATCTCTCAAGCCAGATTTGGTGATCTACGATAAAGCATTCGCTCGGTTTTCAGTAAGTCCTTTGTACACCTTTCCATCCGTTTGGCTCCACATTGTTAGCGCTGCATCCTTGTCATACACATTTCATTTGACATCCAACTCAGGCACCGAATATCCATTTCCATCCATCTATCTTCGAGATTTCGAGTTACGCAGACTTCTTACTACAATTGGACGCAATGCTTTGGATCCTTGTGAAGATTCTCCCATTCCTTTACTGGTTAATACTTGTAGAGCCATGGAAGGGAAATACTTGGATCATCATGCTAGTTCGACGAACCTGAAAGTTCTCCCTGTTGGTCCATTAATTCCCAGTAGTCCTAATTCCACTGGTGAATCAGGTGACGACGATATTGAGCTCATGAATTGGCTTGGGCAGAAAAGTGAACATTCAACTGTTTTTGCTTCCTTTGGCACAATGTATTTCTTGTCAAAGGAAGAGATACAAGAGATAGCTTTCGGTTTAGAGCTGAGCAATGTAAATTTCATCTGGGCATTGGGATCTCCAAAAGGTGAGCAACGTAGGCTCGACGAGATCTTACCAGAGGGTTTTCTTGAAAGAGTGAAAGATAAAGGGAGAATTGTTCAAGGATGGGTACCGCAGGCGAAGATTTTAGGCCATTCGAGTATTGGTGGCCTTTTATCCCACTGTGGTTGGACTTCTACATCAGAAGGCATAGAATTTGGTGTCCCAACAATGGCCATGCCTATGGCCTTTGAACAGCCCATTACTGGTAGGGTGTTGGTGGAAAATGGTGTGGCTATTGAAGTTATGAGAGATGAAAATGGTAGACTTCAGAGGGAAGAGATAGCAAGAGTGATCAAGGACGTTGTATTTGGGGGTGCAGGCGAAACCATGAGGCAGAAAATTAAAGATTTGAGGAAGAAGATCAAATCAGAAGAAAAAGAGAACCTGGATGGACTCTTAACATTGATTATCCAACTTTCCAACAAAAATTCAAGTCACGGTATCAATATTGCAAGAGCATAGTATCTAAAAATTGACTTGGGACTCTCTCCCTCTCCTCCTCCACTTCCTCTTTTACTTTCTTCATTTTTCAAAGGGAGGGAGACCATACCATAGTCTTCCTCCCATGAATTTCATTTTATTTTATTTTATTTTTTTAATAAAGTCTCTCTTAAATTTTCTTAGTAAATGCCACCTTGCCAAATAGTTGTTCAAATTCGAAGTTCATTATTTGTTCATTATAAATTTAATATTTTACATTGGTCATGAAACCATTAGTGTAATTTTAATTTAATGTACCCCAACGAATCCATGTAACATACCCTAATTCTTGTACCTGAACATAAATTTCTACAAATAAAACTCTAACCAAATTGTGAGGCTATCAAAAATCATCTCATCTCTGTCAATTGTTCCAAAAAGTCAAAACTCAAAAGGGCCTAAGCAAACAAAAGAGAACACTACTGCCTACGGAGGATGCTAATCTCTTCTCCGCTCTGCAAAATCAAGAATCTACCCAATATCTTGTCAAAAAGCTTCATTAGAAGCATTTTGTGCTCATAGCAGCAAATTGACTAGATAAACCTGATCTAGCAACAAAATTCTCTGCCTTGTTTTCCTTCTTCCCATTAGAAGCTGATGCTGTCAATGTGTCAAAATTGGATGAAATATGCTCACCAACCATTGCTTCTTTATTGCCTAGGCCTACTTCTCTGCTAGGATTCAAAGGGATTATTCTTTGGCAGTTACTAAACCATTTGGACTGCATATAAGTGATTGTCCTCCATGGAGGAACATGCAGACCTCTTTCTTTAAGTGAGTTCTTAGCTTCTGAGCAAAGGATGGAGATTATCTTGTTCAATTTCTGAGCATCACCAGCAAAGATTGCAGGAAGCGTATCTGTGAGCTCTTTGTACGATGATGTAGGCCTTGCTAATTCAAATTGTGACTTGAAATCAATGTCTAAGATCAGCCTCAATGAGCTGCATTTTTTATCTTTAATCACAACTTCAATGTATTCATAATCACCTGTTTACCATTAGAAAAAGAAGTTTAGATCATTTTGCAATTAAAGTTCACAGAAAAATAGCAGATGGAAGGTGGATTCCTAGAATGTTAGTATGATTTATCTTGTCATCCCTTTAATTATCAAAATTTTTGGAGGTTACATGCTAATTTACTACATCCCATCTTACAAATTTGGATCTTTTGTGTTTTAACACTCTGGTCCTTGAGACTTAAACATAAAAGAGATTATGCTCATAACATGGAAAAATAAATATGCAAAGTTCTAAAGTAAACCAAATAATAATTGTTTAAAAAAATTACTTACCCGCAGGGCAGCCTAAAGTAGTAGGCCAAGAAGTTTGACATAGACAAACACCATGATAACCATCCTTTCTTAGCCTAATCACAAGCCATTTCTTGAGGCTAGTAGTTTTCTCTGCTTCGATTTTGTGCCTCATGTGCTTCAATACACAACCAAGAAGACCCTCTTCAGCTGCAGTTCTACTCGCAACAATCTCCTGTAATCAAGAAAGATTTTCAAACCCTTTCAGAATTACACCAAATACAAAATGATCCAACTAAAAACAGAATTTAGTGTTTAGCACATGCACAAAAATGAATGATCAAGAAACTTAAAATGAAAAAGGGGAAAACAAAATACCTGCAAAATATATTGCTTAGCATGATGATTATTGAGAGACAGATTTTGAGAGGAATAAGAGGGATTTTCTGAAGTTGATTCTGATTCAATAAAATCGTGCACCATTTGAAACAGCTTCTCTTCTTCTAAGCTACCCATTTTTGTTCTCTCTCTTTTTTCCCCTTTCAAGCCCACTTTGTATTTTCTTCTCTTGTTTGTGAACTGAATTGTGAGCAGAAAAGGGTCTATGTTCAAAGCGCAATTTTCACCTTATCCTAAGCGGAATTAAAACGGTGGAGGTTCATATTTATGTTGGCAGTGGACAGATAAGGTCAAGATAACGATGAAAGGACTTTAATTGTGGACTATAGTGACACTATATGGTATATCCTAGGAACTTTGGCTGGGGCACACGGTTTTGATAGAGCATATCCTAAAAATTTTTGAAAAAGGACTCTGAAATTGACAGTTACAGGCCATCCTGGTCCAGAAGCAACCTCAAAATTTAATTTTATGCCTTTAGAGGACATCTTCCCAAGAATATTCTAGTCATAAACAAGTACTAGCAATCTATTGTAGTACATCCATATCTTCTTGCCTAAATTACGTAGTACAAAAGTATTAGGACGTAGTAGCTCAGTGCTTTAAGGCTTAGGATAAGGGCATTTAAAAAATAAAGGGTATATTGACTTTTTTTTTTTACCTTAACTATAGAGACTTCAAAAATTTTCCCAAAATTTTTAAAATACACACTTCAACATACAAAAAAAAATAAATAAAAAAAAATTCCTTCTTTCCTTTCTTTTTTTTCCTCCCCTACCTCTTAGCTCACCACCATCACTACCATCTTTTTTTCTTTTCTTTTCTTTTCTGTGCTCCTTCTATCCCCCCATCTCTCTCTCCTCCACCCGCCACCTGTTTTATCTCACCCACCCCTTCCCTTAGTCATGCACGACTAGGGGGAGGGAGAAGAAATGGGTGAGGGAGAGAGGGTGGCAGAGGGGATAGAGAGGAGAGTAAGAGGAGAGAGAGGATGAGGTGGGGAAAGAGAGAGAAGGGAGAGTGGAGAAAGAAATAAAGAAAAAAAAAAGGAGGTGTCGACGTCAGAGGTGATGGATACTGGCGATAAAGTAGTACCGAGAGGAAAGAAAAGAAAAGGAAAAGAAAAATAAAATGGTTTTTAATTTTTTCATAAAAATTGTGAAGAAGGAGAAAGGAAAGAAATGAAAAAAAAAAGGAAAAGAAAAATAAAAAATTTTAAATTTCTTCATAAAAATTTTTTCTATACCTTTTACAGTTAGTTACAATGATTTTATATAAACACCAAAAAAAAATCTCCATCTAATCAGGATTCTAATGACGAGCCATTTCTTGTCAACGAAGCTTTTAAATGTTTTACAATGTCAAAATCTTTATTTAATGTTAAGAATTTGTCATTAGTAAATTATAAATTGAATATTTTTTCCCATTTTGCAATAAGAAAGCACTAGGCGCGCACCATGAAATATTAGTTCTGAAAGAAATATATAAGTAGTTTGTATTGTCAAATAAAGAAGATAAATTGTCCAATGAAAAGTTAGAGGGCAAACATATTCCTTGTTTTTGTCATTATGTTTTTTAGATAGATACGGACCACCATTTACTTGTATTTTGTCATTTGTTCTGTTTCTTGCATGTTATCCATTTTCAACTTTTGTCACCTGACCGACCTACAAATGTGGTAATCAATTATTGGGGAGTGTCGATTTTTTGATACAATTGATTTCCTTTTTTTTTTTTTTTTGCACCTTTTGCACAATTGGTCAATTCGTAGTACATTGTTTTCAGTTTGTCTGTTGGCTTGGCTACACATATACGCCATCTGATCTGGATTAGTTTTTGTTGGGCAGGTGGATGAGATAAAAATAGTAGTGTCAATTAAAAAAGGAATTTGTTGCTGACATAATTCTTGAAAGGTCCAGTGGAGTGGATAATATGGGTATAGCTGTGCATATCTTTCATTATCTTTTTTTTTTTATTAGGGATAATTTCAAAAACCTCCCCTGAGGTTTTTATCAGTATGACTAGCCTCCCTTGAAGTTTTAATAATATCATATACCTCTCCTAATTCATATGATTTTGTAACATGTCTGCCCAAGTGAACTAAAAAACTAATTTCATAAGAGAGATAATAATTTAATCCCCTAAATGCCCTTTTGCTGCTATCCTCAACATTAGTTTGTTTATAAATCTAATTTTTGACTTTAATTCAAATTACCCCCACAATTACAAGTCCATAGCAATTACATCATGTGCTTTCATGTCCATATTAAGAATTTCTTTCATGCTAAAATACATTATTCCTTACAAATTTTTTAATGGCCATAATTAATACATAAATGAAAAATTATTTAGAAATCTTATGTAACTCTCTCTTTTTTTTTTATTAACAACCTCATATTGTTCATTAAATGTCACTAACGATAGAAGTTAAATATTTGGTAACAATGTTGCACCTTCAGTTTTAAATATATATTCTTGTTTTTCAAGAAGAATCTGTTATTGCAATTCAAAAAAGAAAAGTATAAAAGTTTTATAAATTTATTTTTATTTTTATAAGTGATACCTAGTTATTATCATACATTACTAGAATTGACTTTTTCAAGAAGAATATATAATTATTACAAATCCGTATAATAAAAGTATAAAAGTATATAATTTATTTTTATTTTTATTAGTGATTCCTAGTTATTATCATACATTATTAGAATTAACTTTTGTAACTTTACTTTTTATTAACAATTAATGTTTTCCCAAGAATTTAGTAATTTATTTTGAAAAAACACCAAACCAATAAATAAATAAATTGTTAAAAATGGAGAAAAATGCTATTCACCCCTAGTTATATTGGTGCAATTTGTAATTGATCCAAAATATATATCTCAAGCAAAGGCAAGGCATAAGAGTTATTTTACCACTATTGATGTCAATAATGGCTGCCAATTAACTGAGAGGGGAGGTTTATGATATTTTTAAAAGTTGAGGGAGGAGCACGGCGATATTGTCCGAAACCTTGGAGGTTTCTGAAATTATCCTTTTATTATTAATCTTTCTTACATTAATAATATATAGGTTAGCTAGTTTGAATGTATATCATATGTGTAAAATTTAGAGTTCAAATTTAAATTAAAATGACATAAACATAGATCTAAACCAGCAAGTAATATATATTGTCAATATATAGAAAAAATTAATTCATTTTCAAATCAACGACTTTCTTGTTTGCAAATAAAGAGGTGTTTTAGTTGGGCTTTGTGAGCCAGCTTTAGGAAGTTAAAATTCAGACCGAATTATAAGAGCAAACTTCTAGCCCATATTGAATTAGACATAAAAAAACCCAAATTGAGCCCTTTTAGTTTGTTGAGTGTTGGTCTAGGACTTTGATGGCCCAAGTTTAAGTCATGTATTTTCAATCTTCAAAAAATTCACTATGTCGTCAAAAAAATCATGTGCAAAACTTTAATCAAGTAAATCAAGTTATTTCATATTAGCAAGAACAATTATTTAAATAGTACTAACTTTTTTTTGGTTAAATGAGAATCCAACCTTGCAAGGAGAAGGGGAAAGAAAGGGTTTGAAAGTTGAGTTAGAGATCCTAAAATGACCTAATTAATGTTCTTAACAACTAAATTGGGTCTCAAAAACGTATTAAAATTTCATAAAAAAAATTTGCACTATTGATACTAAAAGAATTAATCTTTTCAGTCCATTTATATTATAGTTTTCCATTTTGGACCATCAAATACTCCCTCCATCTTATTGAAAGTATCATAATTTCTGTTTTAGAATGTTTCAAAATGTTATCTTATTAAAGTCAAAGTTACTTTTGATTTCTTTTTTCAATGTTATCCCTCCTCCTATCCCATCTCGCCTCACCCCAACTAGACAAAAAACATATGGTCTAGTTATTTAGATCTGGTCTAGCATCTTTGGGCCAAAATTTAGCCCCAAAAGGCGAACCTACTTTAGACCCAAACAAGTGTAATCCAATTATTTTGTACGTTTTATACCTACATGTTACTAAATCCCATCCCTTTCTTCACCTATTTTTCTTGGCTCTACAAATGTTTTGTATGTCTGATCCTTCAAGCTAGAGGTGGCAAAATAGGTGGGATGAGCGGGATTTGCTTGGATTTGAAATGAGACCGAGTAATATGAGTTTGGACCCAACTTTATCCATACATATTTTGAGGCTAATTTGGATAGGATCACTTTAGAATGGTTTAGATTGATCCCGCCCAATATCCAAGTCTATTTTTCATATTCTTTTTTCCTTTAATTCTTTTTTGTTTTTATATAAATTTAATATTTTTGATTTATTAAATTTCTTTTAGTCTTATTGTGAATTTATATTTTTCTGAATTCTTTTCCCCCACAAATTTTCTTTTATTTATTTTCTATGTATATATTCCAATGTTGCTAAATTATAGTTGAGGAAAAAAATAAATCCTATAAAAGCTTAAAAGAACTTGTATTTATGAGTACAAAGAAATGGCATTTAGAACTATGAGCCATCATAAAACTATCAATACTAGACAAAATATTTTCTAATAAAATTACAGAGTAATGACTTTCATATTACTCCTAATATTCATTTTGATTAGTATTCTACTAGAAAAGAAGTTCAAAACCATTTACAAGCCTAAAAGAGCCCCCACCAGCCTTGTTTAGGCATTCTTCGGTCTAACTACGCAACCATTGAGTTCGCGTGTCAAAATAAGAAGTTTCTTTTGACATATTTCAAATAGCACTCTAAATTGAGACTAACGACAGAATTTTTACGAAAAAAAGGGAAAAATTTAAAAAAACTGATTTCTAAGGGACAAAAGAGTTCAAGAAACTAGAGAGGGGTTTTGAGCATAATTACAAGGAAAAAACTAAAGGACCTAGGTGAAAGAATAAAAGTGATTCATTTGGGTCATTAAAAAATATACAACAATTGATAGGATAAATTTTTGATGAGGTACTTGGCCCCAATGGGTACCCAAGAATTTCCCAAAAATTCCCATCAATTAATGGGTATGAATAGCATTCGTCCCATCTCAAGCTTAATATTAAAATTAGAATATCCATCTCATCCAAAGTCCCTTTGCGTATGAGTAATCCGTTGGGGCTTGAGACATATTGCCACTTCTACTTCAAACAAAACAAGATTTAAAATTTTTCTTGCCATTCAAATGCCATACATATGGAGTTTTAAATTTATAAATCAGAAGCATGGGGGATAAAAGATAAACTTCAAACTGTTGCAAAATGAGAA